CAAGTGAATCATTACGCCTGTATTTATCAAGTAGCATATTATGACACCGAAGACTGAATAGAAGTAACACCGTTTAGTGACCGAAATGTTTTTGCTTGAAATGATTATGATAATGACCACCACGACAGGACCAGGGTGACTCACTCACTGCCATCTGTCGTCAGTCCGTCCGTCAGCGCCTACGACCTATATTATAGTTTCATATACTAAAACAAGCCTTCTTTTTCCAGCGCGGTCTTTTTCCACACCACTGCGTTTTTGTTTTTGTTTTTGTGAGTTTTTTAAAAAGTCTGTCGTGTTTGTATTTGTTTTGATGTGTACTTTTCCTCTGTGTGGTACTCGAAACCGTCAATCGTCAGAGTCACGCGGAGCTTCTAGTCGATGACATCAGCTGGCGAGCTCTCAAAAGTGATAAAAATATTATAGTTTTATTGCGCAGCGGTTGTAAACCGCTAGTCCACTTATTATCTATTAAGTAGTGTGTATTGAACTCGGGTGTCCTTTGCGTGAGCTGATGTTGTGGTATTGTCAACGGTCATTCGCTCATCGTTTGTTGAGTGTTTCTGTGTGCACTGCAGCCATGTGTCTGTGAAATGTAGCATGTAATAGTTCTGGCTTCTGTGACTAGAAAGTAGGATTTTATAGTCTGATTTTGTATAAACTGCATTCGAAGAAGTCAATGCCTTTAAGAGAGTAATTTGACGGATGCATTATAATTCTTTTTTCTTTCTTATATTCCTTCAGCTTTTTGAGGCTCTAGGTGGTCACTAAAATTGTGTCGATTGTTCGGTAAAATGTCTACTCGGTCACTACTCAAACGATGTTGACGTTGATGGTTCTCCCTTTTTTAAGACGGAACATTGCCTTTTCTTCCTCTGTCAACGTTGATTCCATTTTTTAAACTCATTTTCCCCCCTCGTGATATATCACATTAAAGCTTGTTGTATAAGTTTTTTTGTCTTTATGTCAAAGGTCACATTGACAGTGTGTGTGTTTTTTAAATTATTTATCTCGCGTGTGCTTTGTGTTTTGATCCATGAATTGCGTGCTTGGACATATTTCTGGGTTGGCCGAAAGAATGCAGTGAGAGGAAACAAATGTGACACAAATTGATCTGAGGGAAAGATAGAGAGAGCGTGCGAGGTACACAGAGAAGGGATAAATATTTTGCTTCCCTTCTAGACGTCACCCTTCAGGACTTTGTCAACTTTCAAGATGTGATATGGAGGGATCTTATGGTGCATAATAGGCCTCTGCATGTTTACTATATGGAAGTATTTCATGGACAAGGAGTTTTGTTGTGATTTGATGTGCTCCTACCTTCTACCCACCCATGCAACTCGCACACTGTACACAATTTTTTTCAAGCCCTCATTTTGCATAAACCAGAGTGGTCAGTTGAACACTAGACTGGAGGTATTGGAATAAAATAGCAGCTTTAGTAAGAATTTTCACTTAAACAAAAGCATATCAGGTTCAATTTTTTAAAGAAAAAAAAGCAACAAAAAGCAAAACAAACAACATATAAAGAACAACATCCTCCAAACCCCCTCCCCCCCCCCCC